TAGGATTTCACTCATATGTGGACCCTAATGAACAAACTAAACTAACAAACAAAATAGAAAACAGACTTGCAGGTACAGAGCATAGACTGAGAGCGGTCAGAGGGAGAGCGGTTAGATGAAAGAGGTGAAGGTATGAAGGGGAAAAAAAGAGAAAGGAAAGAAAGAAAAGAAAAAGTAGGACTTAACTTTTTTGAATACCTATTATCTACCAGGCAGTTCTTTTAGGTGCTTTACTAACATTATTTCATTTAGTCTTTTCTTCAGACCAACCCTACAAGGTTGGTATCATTAGTCCATTTTACAGATAAGAAAGTTTCGCAAACAGGTAATTGTCATATGATGATCACTTTGGGATCCAAACTCAGGAGTGCCCTACTTTAATTGAATCATAGAGTTGTGGCAAACCAACCCAAATTCCTTTCTTCTTTAGCTATCTACTTTGGAGTCTTATTATTCCTTGCCACTCTCTATGAATGGCATCAGGATTCAAACACAGGAGCAACTGACTCTAGTATTTCTGTTCTTTTCAGGACACCTCACCCTTACATTATCCAAGAAATTATTATTCTTTCTGTTCCTCAGCCACAGTCAAGAAAAAAAACCACAGAGTATACGCCAAACTACTTCCCTCTTCCTGGCTAGGTTTTCATGCCATTTTCTCATCATAATGTGTGTGCCTACTGCCACCTGCTGGCAGCCTGGCAATCCTGATGTTCCTTTGCAAACCCCTCTATATGATGGAAAAGCCATCTGACAAAAAAAAAAAAAAAAAAAAAAAAAAAAAAAAAAAAGCAAGAAGCTTCATGCAGACAACCAGCTGCTAAACCTTCCCAGAAGCTGGTAAGCTTAAAAGGGAGGACTAATACCCATCCATCTCTCTTGGGGATACATCCTTTCTTCTTCCAAGTCACTTGCGGTTTTCACCAGATTTCACCTGTCCTTAGGCACCGAAAGAAAGAACAAATTCTGTCATCCAGACCATCTAAATGTGAATGATGGTCTCTTGCTAAATTGGGGTAGTCCATGACCCCAGCACATAACACTGACCACTGTGCTGACAACCAACAAGCCCGTAGGTAGCAGGGCCTTGATCAAGAAGAACCTGAGTGGCTGGCAAAGCTGAGGTTGGCCTCCTTACAGAACGTGGGGCCCAGGGCAGTCAGGGCACGAGTATCCTGGTCCTTTACTCTGGGCAGCCAGGACCACCAGGGGAATCCATCCCCTTTGTCAAGGACACCCATCTATAACACACACACGCACGCGCGCACACACACACACACACACACACACACACATTCTACAGAACATAATGACTTGTGTTCTGGGTGGATTCTTAGATTTTTGTTTCTCGTTGTTTTCCCCTCCTTGACAAAGTGGGGAAAACCCCTTCCCGGGGGTGGGGAAGCGTATTTCTGACTGTTGGGAAAAAGAGAAAGCAGGAATTGTTGTCACGACAATTAGGAGCTCATCAAAGCCTCATTTTGCTCTTCAGCCATCATTGCCCTCCGTCCTGCACCCCCGCATGTTCCTCTAATTCAATGCCTGCCTAATGAATAACTCCTAGGAACAAAAGACCCTTTCAGGCGGGAGCACATAATCATTAGAGGAGACTTGCGTAACTGTCGCAGACTACTCATGTTTTCAAGCCTGTCTCTAAATTTGGTTATTCACAACCTTTATAGCTCAATATTATTGCCTAACTATGATCATTTTCTAATTATCCTAATAATACCTATTAAATAATTCCCATTACATTACTTAAACCAGACCAACACAGGCCAGCTCAAATACAACTTAACCTAATAAGCATCGGCCATTCATTAAGCACCAGGGCAATCTCTTAAAGGGGCTGAATAGAATATTAAACTGTAAAGAAACATTATTATTGCACAAATGTTATTACAAGTTAAGGGTGTATTAATTTTGATGCCTGGTCTGCAAATCTCCCATATGGCATCCTGTGGGGCTGCGCGCCCTGCCTTAACTCTTTTAGTCTTTAGCTCCTGGTTGGTTTGCATCTGTCACCCACACAAAGACAATCAAGGAGGAAAAGGCCCATAAACTTAACATGGGGATTAAATTACCAAAGATATCAAGAGAAGGAATGGAATCCATCTTCTGGCCAGGTTAGCATAGCTTGGACAACACCACAAGCATCAGGGTTTCTTTAGCTGATAACTCGAAACGGGAGATGTTCAGAAGTGTGAAAATATTGGTTTCTAGAATATAAATCTCAAGCAGTGATGAATAGAGAGTGAGTTCTTTAAAAGTGTATGCACGTGGCCCTAACAGGTTTGGCTCAGTGGATAGAGCGTCGGCCTGCGGACTCAAGGGCCCCAGGTTCGATACCTGGGTTGCGGGCACATCCCCAGTGGGGCGTGTGCAGGAGGCGACTGGTTGATGTTTCTCCCTCGTCGATGTTTCTAACTCTCTATCCCTCTCCCTTCCTCTCTGTAAAAAATCAATAAAATATATATTTTAAAAAGTGTATGTATGTGGATACCAATATTTTGTAAAGTAATGTCAAGTAGCATGTGCTGCCCACACTCTGGGAGACACTTTGCCCACCAAGGCCCTTAATTCTCAAAACGACCTGGTAATGTGGAGACTATTAGCTCCGTTTTTCAGATAAGCCATATGGGACCAGAGGGGTTAAGTGATTTTCCTAGGACTACACAGCCTAAATGCAATGGAACAGAATTTGAACCGTGTGCTCTCTGATGCCTATAATTCTCCCAGCCCTGCCATGCCACAGTGCCTCCCCAGCAAACGAAGCATGCCCTAGCTTTGCTGGTTTGTCTTGTTTATTTCTAAGGCTCTCACTGAAATCAGTGGATTCCTAAAGAAAAGCACCAGACAGGCAGTGACTCTCACTCCAAGCAGCAGGAAATGGGTATCATTTTGGTAATGAAACCTACTTCTGATGAATGGATTCAGGTTTTCTTTACAAGGACATGCATAGGGTATTTTAGTAGAATAAGAACAAATATTTATTAATCAATTATGCCATCCATCGCATAGTCAGGCCCTATGCTAGGGCTTCCACATTAATTATTTTAGCCTACCCTCACCACAAATCCAAGAAACAGATAAAAGTATCACTCTTACTTTACAAACAAGGAAACTGAGGCACAGAGGGGTTAAACTCTGACTCCAGCGTTTCCCTGTTAACCAAAGACATGTGAGCCATACAGCTAATACTAAAGCTGGAACCCAGGGCCCCTCACTTGGATGGGGGAGCAGCCCTCACAATTTTGCAGGTATGACTTTGTATGAGCTTTAGGCATCACAAAATCTGGGTCTGCCCTTGCTAGTATCATCACTCTCAAATAACTGAAGTTTTAAGAGAATTGAAACCCTAACCTTTCACTACGTTGTTTAACCAGTAACACATTTTCATGGTTACACAGAGAGAGAGATGTGCTTCCAACGTTTGGTTTTTCACACTTTATATCCAAAATATAAAAGGCTAAAGACATCATGTCACAAAGCTAGAGAGACAATACTTCCCACAAACCCTAAAGCCCTCCCCCCCCCGCCCCCCGCCCAATTCACTACCCACATAGATGCTGGGTGGTTTTGAAAAACAAGTGGATTTCTTTAAGTCATCCCTCACCCCAGAACCCTTCCCGGCCCCTCTTTTGCTAAGGCATTTCACGTCTTTGCACATCTGGCCTTTGCAGGTGCTGCTCCCTCTGCCAGAACAATCTCCTCGCCTCACTGGTTAACTCCTTCCTCCTCTGGCTCTCATCTTGACAGGCCGCCCCTCCCGGGAAGCCTAGCCTGGCCCCCTCTCCCAGGACCAGTTAGGGACCTCCTGCTCCTGTGCCCATGCACCCTGATGCTTGTCCCTAACACAGCGCTGGCCCTCCTGTATTGTGGTTTATTTCTCTACAGGTCTGTGTACTTCAGTGGACTGTGAAGCTCTCAGAGGCAGAAACTGTGTCATAGTCATCATTATAGACCCACTGTCCTCACGTCCAGCAATAACAGGGCTGCACCAGATGAATTCTGTTCGGATCTGAGAGAGTGAAGCTATTGGGAGAATAGTTACCATTTAGTGCATTACCTGTGCCAGGCAGTGTGCTAATTTTTATATATACATGCATACATACACATTTATATATATATGTAAATGTGTATGTATGTATATGTGTGTATAAATGTAAATGTATGTGTCTATACATATATAAATGTATATATACAGATATATACAGAGAGATATTTATACATATCCATATACATGAATATATGTAAAATTTCTTCTTTAATGCTTACATCAGCTCTATAAGGTTGGAAACCACTATTATCACCATTTTATTTTTTTATTTATTTATTTATTTTTTAATATATTTTATTGATTTTTTACAGAGAGGAAAGGAGAGAGATAGAGAGTTAGAAACATCGATGAGAGAGAAACATCGATCAGCTGCCTCCTGCACATCTCCTACTGGGGATGTGCCCGCAACCCAGGTACATGCCCTTGACCGGAATCGAACCTGGGACCTTTCAGTCCGCAGGCCGACGCTCTATCCACTGAGCCAAACCGGTTTTGGCCTATTATCTCCATTTTAGAGGAGAGATTTAAATTGTAAAGATTTAAAATGTGGCTGGTCTAAGGTCATACAGTGAGTAAAGGGAGAAACCAGGACTTTTACTAAAGTCCAGGCTTTGAATCACTACCAATATTGCTTGAATGCCCAAACAGTTCTCCTGAATCTATGCTAACCCCTGAATTGCAAAGAACATTCACAGTAGCAGATAACTGGGTAGAGCAGAAACCCAGGGACAAGGCCCACAGGCCTACCAGTGCCCCTAGGAATTTCCAATGGTCAGGTTGACGATGAAAGTGTGAAGCCGCTGTAGATTTCGCGTTGTGTCAATATTGGCAGATCCAGAGGATGACAAGTCTCCCTGACTTCCCCAGATGGTGAGACCAGCACTGTTCTCAGACCACAGCCATGATGGGGCTGCTGCTGTGGATCTGATGGGATGCCTACCTGCTTCTCCTCTCAGTGCCTTCTCCAGCCTCACGCCCTGGATCTCGGAGGCCCTCTGCCGCTCCTCCACCTCCTCCAGCTGCCTCTGGATGGCCTGCAATGCCAGGGGTTTACGTCACAGGGGTCCCTCGCACAGAGTCACAAGAGGGGCCAATCCTGCCACTGCCTTTCCAAGAGGAAGAAGCCCTTCCCTATGCGATATCACCTCCTTGATTAACTGGGAATTCCCAAACAACTAGAACTTGACATTTCCCTTCTGTAGCATGAAGACATAAAGCGAGGAGTCTGTGTGTCAGCTCACTTTGCCCCCAAGTAGATGCTAAAATAGTCCCCCTTGACCAGCTAATCACACAGACGAGCGCTCAGGCAGAGGCTGCTGGGCCAGGTGGGCGGTCCTCCAGGCTCCTGGACTCCTTGGAGCCTCAGCCTCTGACTATGGCCACTAAGAACCATAACTCTGAGTAGGACAGGGGCTCTGGGGGCAATCACAGAGCACGCTCACATTCCATTTTCCCGAGAAGAACCGGCAGGTCCCTCCAAGAAATTGATCTGGAGCAGGAGACCTGGGCCAACTCCCTGGACTGGGTGTTCCTTTCTCCGTGCACCTGGCTCCAGCCCTCAGCTACAGACTGTACCTACTCCTTCACTGCCCCGCGGGGCCGGGCCTATGCCCAGGGCCTTTTACTGTGGAAGTGTATGGTAGCTTTGTTACCAGCAGGTTATTGAGACACCAGATGTTTATCCTGCTAAGGCAGTGGTTGGCAAACTGTGGCTCGCGAGCCACATGCGGCTCTTTGGCCCCTTGAGTGTGGCTCTTCCACAAAATACCGACTTCTGTGCATGGGCTACGAAGTTTTAATTGCACTGTACATGCACGCCCGCACGTGGTATTTTGTGGAAGAGCCACACTCAAGGGGCCAAAGAGCCGCATGTGGCTCGCGAGCCGCAGTTTGCTGACCACTCTTAAGGGACATTGGCTTAGCCTCAGCATTGGCACCTTGTAAGGTTTGGGGTCATGAGTGGGTTTGCATTTTCATGTTTACTTTCCCTACTAGGTCTTTCTCTCCTGTGTACTATTAGGAAGGAAAATGAGGGGAGAGCCTGCCCTATGTCCATTTTGCTCACCCCTTCGTTTTCTCTGTTTTCAGATACCATGCTGCCAAAGGCACAGCTCCTGGTAGAACAGATTTGGCACCTGGCAGACCAGGTATGTTTAAGGACCCAGCAGCTGTTGGGGCAGGTAGTATGTGTGTGTTCTTTCTCCTGTATCTCACTCCAACATTGTCTCACCCCCTTTCCTCCTTAACTTCGAGTCTTTCTAAGTCTCCCCTAGATTTAGGGGTACAATTTCCAAAGCACCTCCAATCCCCTGAAGAGGCCTGAGCAGCCACCTGGCTCCTCTTGTGCCAACGAAGAATGTTTAAGCCCCAAACTTAAAATCTGAAATAGATGGGAATTATATCTTAAACAACTTGTAATTTCATGCCCCCTTCCTCTCTGTCTCTCTTTTAAAGATAATTACATCTTTATAAATCAGTCTCTTGCTGGCATGGTGTAGAATTGCAAAAGGAAAGAAAACATTTAAATAACTTTATTACTGATTACTTTGTGATTATGGCTATGTGGTTATTATGGAGTAAGTGGAGGCCCCCTAACCCCCCATTCATATGTCGAAGTTCTAACTCCCAAAGTGACTATATTTGGAGACAGGGCCTTAAAGGAGACAAATGAGATTAAATGAGGTCAAGAAGGTGGGGCCCTAATCTGATGGATCTGGCATCCTTATCAGAAGAAGAGATACCAGAGATTGATCTCTTTCTCTACATGTGCACAGAAAATAAAGGCCATGTGAGGCTACAGCAAGGCAGCTGTCTACAAGCCAGGAAGAGAGTCCTCACCAGAAAGCCACCCTGAAGGCACCTTGAGCTTGGACTTCCAGCCTTGAGAACTGCGTGAGATGAATTTCTGTTGTTTAAGCCACCCACTCTGGCTAATATAGTGGTCATTCTTTAGACACTAAGGATGAAAATCTCAAAGATTAAAAAGGAAAGCAAATTAAGACTCTAAGGGCCATTGTAATTCTTCTCCTATCGCCACCTATTGCCTGGAGTGAAAATATAAGAAGGGGAAACTGCTGAGCTTGCCAGTCCATATCATAAAGACGTATCTTGTTCTCAGGAGGGAAAGTTGGTATGTTTCAAATAAACCTGTTTTAGAAGCTGAGAGTGGACAGAAGAAGCTGATGGGAATTTTCCCTGTCCACTGGGTGACAGGGGCAGCTCTCAAATCAGTGACCGTGAAGGGTAAAAGAGGTTGGACTAAATGATCTCCTTCTTGTAAGACACAACTTCCAGGACTATATGGCCAGATAAAGGGAATAATTGGAGAGAGGAATGTAAGGGTACAATGGATTAATATGAGAGGCCATTCGAAGTTCTTTTGTCCTAAAACCTAACTGTTCTTGAAGGTTAGCTTGGAGGGCCTCAGGGAGAGGGAGGATGCCTTGCCAGTCTGCTTCATTTTGCTGCTCTGTGACAGAGGTGGGCAGATCACTTTGGGAAGAAATGTTTGCAGTGGGCCGGGAAGCCTATATCAGAATGCTGGGTGCTTATGTTGTTCAACTGATTTTGCAACAGAGACAGCTCCTAATAGCTGTCAGTTCAGCAGAGACACTGGCAGCAAATTGAGGGAAGGTGTGTCTGCACAGACTGCTATGTGGCAGTCAAGGCCGGGGATGGGCCCCCGGCCATGTGTTGGCTGTCATTTCAGGCTCCCTTTGCTGGAAATGTGTCTGCAGATGGAAAGGCTGCTGGGGGTGGGCCAGGTTAACACCAGGGCTCTCCAGGCCCCAGAGTCCCACCAGGGTTTGAGCCAGCGCCTTTAGAAGGGCCAGGAACCTGGTCGCTCCGAGAAGAGGAACTGACCTTTATCCAGCCCACCGCCCCACTGCAATCCCGACTTCCGAGGGTTTTCCGGTTCCCAGGGTCCCAGGCCCACTCACTCATATCAAGTTTTCCTGACCTGAGCTTTATGAAGTCTTTTTAATTCTTCCTGCTTAACCAGTTGTTTTGTTGCTTTTTCCAACTTCCTTCTTCTTCTAAGTGTCTTCCTCTCCTATAAAAACCAACAGAGAAGAAAAAATATATGTCTGAGAAAATGGGTTGAAACTGACAAAACACTGTCATAGGCTTCTGCCCCTGCAACCAAACCACCGATTAGCTTCTAGAACAATGATGTCCAAGAACCTCTGCAATGATGGGAATGCCCTGTACTTGTGCTGCCTAAATGTGGAAGCCACCAGCCACATGTGGCTTTGGATGCTTGAAATGAGGCTGGTGGGATTAAGAAACTGAATTTTGAATTTTATTTCATTTTAATGAGTTTGGATATAAATATAAATAGCCACATGTGGCTAGTAGGTGCTGGGTTGGGAAATGTGTGTGTGTGTGTGTGTGTGTGTGTGTGTGTGTGTGTCTTTGCTTGTGTGTTTGTGTGTGTGTTTGTATTTGTGTGTGTGTGTGTATTTGGGAGTGGCTTTATAGAGCACTGACTTGGTTCAGTTGAAGGAAGAAATCATACAAGAATTACACTCTTTTTTTAAAATATATTTTATTGATTTTTTTACAGAGAGGAAGGGAGAGGGATAGAGAGTTAGAAACATTGATGAGAGAGAAACATCAATCAGCTGCCTCCTGCACACTCCCTACTGGGGATGTGTCCGCAACCTTGACCGAATCGAACCTGGGACCCTTCAGTCCGCAGACCGGCGCTCTATCCACTGAGCCAAACCGGTTAGGGCAAGAATTACACTCTTTATAGGTGCTACCCTAAGGCCCAGGGATGATGAATCTGGGACACACACACACACACACACACACTCACTCACACACAAAGTATACTACCTGAAAACCAGTTAACAACTTCAAATAGTCCTTAGGTGGGGTCTACATTGCCCAATTAAATGCGGGAATAGAGGAGCATATCTAAATGAAATGAAAAGTTTTCGTGGCTGGAGAGAGGCATAAGATTACTTCTCTTCCCTGCTTCATTTAGTGACACAAACGCATCATGAATGTCACTGGGTTCTTTGTGTGCCTGGGCTTGAAAAATACAGAACATTCAAAACTGATGCATTTTAATTAGATGTCTGGCTCATGATGGTGTTATTTCCAGGTTTCAGACAGCAGAGGAAGGGGAAGTAGTGGTGTGGCCAGTTCCACACATGGAAAGTTCAGGAGACATTCTGGTTGGAGAAACAGCAGAGTATGATGGGGGGCCTCGGGCTGGGGAGCCTGCAGAGCTGGCATCAGTTCCTGACGAGCTGTGTGGGTGTAGCATGTCATACACTCTGCACGTCAGCATCCTCTTCAGTGATAAGAACAATTTAATACCTACCTTGTAGGGGTGTAATAAGGAATAAGTGAGATAAGGCAGGTCAAGCCCTTTGCAGAATACTTGAAAAGATATAGGATAGAAATTCAGTACCTACTATGATTTGTTTTATTATTAGCATATTATTATATTATACATTAGCATGATTAAAACATTTTACTAAAATATGATTTTTCAGCTATTATATGTGTATATGCATGTTGGAAGGAAACTTTGGCTCTGAGAACTCAAACTTATTCCATATCATATAATCTCTATTTCTAGGGGGGAACTTCCTGATGGACTGTCAATCTCTCTGAACAGAGGTTCTGGGACATTGGGGTGGGGGAACCGCTCTTTTAGGCAGCCAGGACCTTACTGGAAAGGCTGGGGAGGAGATCACTGGTAATTGTTATCCAGAGACTTTCCCACTCATTCTATGCAGAGTTGGTGCATTTACTCAACAAACATCTCTTGAGCTTACAACCTACTAACCTACATAACAAATCCCACCATTGATTGACTGTTATGTGCCAGACACTGTACTAATTACTTCACATGTATCATCTTAATTATCCCTCAAATTAGACTTATTTTATAGATTAAAAAAATCAAAACTCACAGACATTAAATAACTTGCCCAAGATGACACACAATTAGTAATTGGTAGAGCCAGGAGGCAAGCCCGGGTCACCTGAGTCCAGTATCCATATTTTCATATAGTCTGTTCTGCCTTTCCTGTGCCAAATACTGTGTAGGCACATCAAGGACTCCTGCTTTATAGTAATGGCAAAGTCTTCCCCTGAATTAAGACCATTTCATACAATTTCAAGGGAAGAAGCTTCGGCAGCATCACACTGTCTTAGCCCTTCCCAGCAGCAGAGGTGCCAAACCCCAGGGCTTTACCAAGAATCTGCAAAGTATAACCTAGAAGAGGAAAGGAGGTCCTTTACTGCTATTTATGAAAAGATATTGACATAGAAATGAGGATGATTCGTTAACATCCAGGGAGTCTCACGATAAGCCAGGCACAGTTCTTACAGCCTTGGTGATGGTGATGAGGATGCGGAGAGGAAAAGGAAGAGACTAAGAGCTAGAGAAGAAGAAGATAAAGGACAGAGAAAGGAGAACTCTGGCAGGACGAGGACAGCTGCCGGTCCCAGTCTCTTGGACCCAGGCATTGGTTTCAGGGCAGAGCAAAGGGAAGAGGTGGGGTGTGCATAGCCTGTCTCCAGTTTCCTATGCAAAGCTTCATTTGAGCTGATGGACTCTGTGCCACATATCTGGGGACACACCTATATGGGACAGAAGACATAAAATACCAGAGGGGGGTGCCTGGCCAGTGTGACTCAATGACTGAGTGTCGACCTATGCACCAGGAGGTCACAGTTCAATTCCTGGTCGGGGTACATGCCTGGGCTGCGGGCTCAATCCCCAGTAGGAGGTGTGCAAGAGGCAGCCGATCAATGATTCTCATCATTGATGTTTCTATCTCTCTCTCCCTCTCCCTTCTACTCTGAAATCAATAAAAATATATTGGGGGGGAACAGAGGGGGAGGAATTCTCTTGTTCCTTCACTGTGAGCCCTTGGGGAGTCCTTGGCCAGCTTTCCTTTCCATAAAAGCAGCCACATCAGAAGCAGGTGAAGCAGGCAGGTGAGGACTGGCGCTGTTCTGGGGCAGCAGGAGGACCAGGAGCTACCCGCAAGGCTTGCCCTACATATCATGGTCTCGCTATTTTGATGTGTTGGGGCCACTCCATTCTTTTCTCCTACGCAAACGTGTCAGGATGGCTGACGCTGGGGCCTCTGCCTCATTTGAATACAGAAGTACACTCTGGATCACTCAAAAAGAGGAAAAGGAAACCCCAGAAATCAAAACACACATAGAATTCATTTGTGTTGAGTAACAAACTAATCAGAGATGCCCCAAGTTACAAAATTAAGAGTCTATACATATTCTCTCATATTCGCTCATATTCTCTCTCTCTCTCTCTCTCTCTCTCTCTCTCTCTCTCTCTCTCTCTCTCTCTCTCTCACACACACACACACACACACACACACACACACACACACACTATGCCATGTCCCAGCCCCCTCCTGACTTGCTCCAGCCAAGGCCTTGTGGAGCTGGATCCTCTGAGCGACTTGAGATGATGCCAGAGTGCCTAGTGCCAGATATGGAAAAGTTGAGTCTAAATAAATAAATCCGGTTCTCTCCCTTTCTCCTCAGATCCTCTCTCTCCCAAAAGTAAACATGAACAGAGCACTGCACTGCGCCTCTGTCTGCCTGGGAAGCATTTTAGGTCCACCCGTTCAGCACCCCAACCCTGTGAAACTGCTCTGGCCCCGTGGATAGCAAACAACAGCGAGCCGTGGTCATGGGTGCGTGTGTCTGTGGGGTGACATACGGGGACATTTGGGGAGATAGAACAGTGTTTGTACTTTTTAAATCTGTGGGGATGGGAGTTGTTTAAAAGTGTTCTCTAGGAATATTAACGTTCATTAAGCAAGGAGGACTGCCATCTCCCCAGCCGGTCAGTGACGGGTCCCTTCCACAGCGGGGGCCCTCAGAGCATCCATACTTCCCTGCAACCGCGTGGTTCCTTTCTTTCCACATGTCTAATTAGAATAAACATAACATTTCCTACGCAGTCTGCCTCGGGTGCTGCTTAAATGAAGCTGTGCTCCCCCCGGGGAAATACGCATCCTCTTGCTGTAATTTTTCCAATAGTTAGTTTCTTGGACCACAAATTAAACCCACTTTTAAGAGCTGTAGTCACCAAATGGTTTCAAGGAAATACGTCTGTTTGCTTTCCCCTCCCCAGTTTTACATCTCTGAGAAAGGCAAGCCTATAAAAGTTAACAACAGAAAATAGAGATGATTCTTGGGGTACCCCAGGTAGAAAGAGCCATGTGCTGTCAGATGCAAGGAAATGTGATCCTTCTAATGAGCCCGCTGCAGCTGGAGCCCACATTGGGCCTGACGTCTGCAGGGTAAGCGGCCCCTCCAGCCAAGGCCCCCTTCGGTTTGCCAAGTGTGGTTACCTTTGACCGCAAGGAAAGCTGGGGATCAAATTCTTCTTCTGCCGAGGAGGAGGTGGTAGAAGAGGCAGCCCCTGTCACCTGCGCCCTGATGGGGACGGGCCTGGGACCTGAAAGGGGAACACAAGAACTCACTGAACTCCCAGCGTCTCCTCTTACTTCGTGACCCAAAGCTGCCTCTCCCCCCTCCCCTCTGCCCCGCTTCCCTCCCTCCCTGCCCTCCCCTCACTGCACCTGCCATGAGCAGGCGGAGGCAGTACCTAAGGGCAACTGAAAAGTTGGCCCTCCACGTTAATTACACTTCTGGGTCCCTGCCAAGAGCTTTGCAGCTCTTTCTTCGCGTCGAAAATAAAGGTATTATGCAGAAATCAATTAATTCCTTAAGCACCATTTATACCATGGGTTGCCTGAATGCGTTCAGAGATGAAATCTATTATTAAAATACTTGCCCAAAGTTAGCTGAGTTACCTAAATGCTTGTGTGTAAGGTTTGTTCTGCGGAGTAATTGCATGCAACGAAAGTCAGAGCCAGCCCTTAAACAAATCGCCTTTCTGCGGCTCACAGCATCTGGTACCCATTTTTACTACATGACATCTGCTCAGTGTAAAAGAGCTGGCGTCAGAATGTCTGGTCACAGAAAAAAAAATCCCAAATGTAATCAGAAGCAAAAGGACTCTAAGCCGAAGGTTTTATCACATAGTCTCATGCAACATAAATATTTCATTAATTATGGCTAAACAAATGCCACTTCTATTTTCCTAACGTGCAGATATTATCACATCACTGAAGTGATGATTCAAATGCCAGGAAAGGCCTTGTAAGATAGGGAGGGCTCAGCAACGCAGGGCCCACGGGAGAGCCGAAGTCGGGGTGGGGGGTTATGGCCAACTCTGAGCCAGAGGTAGATGGTTAGAGGCAGCCAGTGCCTGTGTCCACCAGAGTCTCTTTGGGATCTGGCTGGGAACCATGTGTGATCAAGTCTTCCAGGTGCCACGGGAGGCGTTTATTTTTCTCAGCAAGAACATCTGCCCCTCCTCATCCACCGGAAGCAGAGTTCATGATTAATATCTGGATGGACGCACTCTGGACACTGAATAGCAGGGCCTGCTAGGACTCCGTGATAGGAAATGTACTAATTTTTACTCTGCCATGGCAGCTTCCATCTGAATGGAAATACGGGCTGGGCAGAAAGGAAGGTGGAGAGGCAATCCCAAGCCGACTAAACATTCCCTCCAAGCTGCCTTTTCCTCTCCATAATGTTCAACTATTTCCCCCGGCGGGAGTGGCCAAGTTTTAAAAAATAAAAATAAGTTTAACCTCCAGGAGCACATTTACATATGCTGTTATTCAAAGAAAAATAGTGCAGAACATGTATATAATAACAGCCTCTCTGGGGAGGGAGTTAACTGCGTTCACTTTCATTGGCCAGCTGGGAAAGCTCAGGTGAAGATGACTCGGGAGCAGTGTACCAATGGGAGGAGGCAGTGGCAGTGGTGAGCTGAGACTGTTCCCCAGCCGCAGCCATAAATCACCCCAGGGTAATTCGGTCTGAGCGCATGCGCCTGAGGAATTCTCCTTTACCTCCCTGCGTGCTGGGGGATCGGGATTTTCTAACTTGCAGATTTGAATTACAAGGTTAGAAATGATCAACGTGAAGAGTCTAACACAGTGCCTGGTTCACTGGAGGCACTTCAGTAAATGTTATTGGCATCGGCAATAGCTGCTGCTTCACCATTCATTGATCGAAATGAACAATACTGCAATATTAGTAAAACTGCCCGATTCGCCTTCACTTAGTGGAAAATGTATAGTAACCTAAGGATGCAACGTTTTCTAACTCTCAAAAACAAATTTAATATTCCCATGGAATTGCATTTTGAAATCGAGGAGGAAATGTTCCCAAATAGAATGCATTTCTTAAACTTCTGGCAAAGTTACATAAAGTTATACAGGTGCCTCTGCATCTCTTCCCCTTTATGCTCTTCCATCATAGAACCATCATTCTAGGCATTCACTTGTCATTTGCAGAGTTTCACTCTGGCTATAACGGGACAACTCATTCCGGGATTGATCCCCCACCATGAAGCCCTAGAAGTCAAAGTATATGAAGCAGCTGTTTCCAGAAGCTGGACAGTGGGATGTGCAGAACTGTGATAAAGGTGAGAACAGAAGCAAATGAGTTAAGCTCTAGATCACAAATGCTTCCTCTGCCCTGGGGCACTTTTTTCCAGATCACAGCGCAAGTAGGAAAAACCTTAGCTGAGCACAGGTGATTCATTGGTTTGAAAAGACAGAGATGAGCTTTTGAGAGGGCTAGGCAGCTGGAATGTGTGAGGGAGAGTCCTGGAGAGGCGGGAACTGTGCAGAAAAAGAGCTTCAGAGATAAGCACAGAGGGCCCGTTAGTGTATTGCTTAATATGTAGATGCACAGAGAGAAACTGCATGAGGCTGGGCAAAAAGCCGCTGGGGAGTTATAGGCTAAATAATATCAAAAGCTTTTGCAGGACTGGGAAATGTTCACATCCCCCCACCCCCAGCCAGGGGCATTAGTAAAGATTATTACAGACTCACCTGGAGACGCTTAAAAACAAGCCTTGGGAGAAATAAATTGATATGCAAGTACTTTACTGCCTTTCCATACATTCTTTACTGCCTACTTAATATTCTTCAAATGAAAAAACAAAACCTAGACTCTGTGCACTGTAATAGTCACAAAATATAGCAGCCTAATCCTAACCCTCACCCTCACCCTCGCCCATCCTCATGCTTACAGGGCGTGGCACCCAATTTCACAGGGACCCTTCCAGACTGCACCCTCTGTAATTCTTCATTGGGCTGTTCATTGGTAACCTTTACTATATACTTTATAATAAACTGGTAAGGGTAAGTGTTGTTTTTTTAAAAAATATATTTTTATTGATTTCAGAGAGGAAGGGAGAGGGAGAGATGAGATAGAAACATCAATGATGAGAGAGAATCATTGATTGCTACCTCTTGCAAGCCCCCTATTAAGGATTGAACCCGCAAGCCGGACATGTGCCCTTGACCAGAATCAAACCTGGGACCCTTCAGTCCGCAGGTTGATGCCCTATCCACTGAGCCAAACCATCCAGGGCAAGTATTAGTGTTTCTGAGTTCTGTGCCATTCCAGCAAATTATTTAACCAAAGGAGGGGCGTGTGGTGAACCCCTGTTTATAACCAGTTGGTTAGAAATATAGTTGACAACCTGTAAGGATACAGAAGATTTGAGCAAACACTACTAATACATTTGTAGAACAACAACCCCCCAAGAACTGGAGAATACAGATTTTTCTTTTCTAGAGCCCATGGAACATTTACTAAGTTGGTGCTATGCCAAGCCATAAAGTAAGAATCAACAAAATTCAAAGGCCTGAAATCATGCATAGTATGTATTCTGACAGCAGTGAGATTAAGCTAGGAATCAGTAATAGAAAATAACACCAGGAATTTTCAAAATGAGATCGCCAGACGGGAAAGCTCAGGTGAAGCAATGCTTTTCTAGCAAACTATAGATCAAAGAAGAACTAAAAGTAAATTTAAACCGATGATTAAAAATGGCATAACAAAAGAACTAGATGCAGCTAACACAGTGGTTAGAATTAATCACTTGAGAATTAATGCTCTAAGTTCTATTTCAAGAAGCTAGAAAAAGAACTACCAATTGAGCCTAAAGAAACTAAAAGGAAAAAAATCAAGAAGAGATTATGAAAGACAATATAGACAAAGCAGAAATAAAATGGAAAAATTGTTTCTTTAAAAAGACAAATAAAATTGATAACCACCTAAGAAGAATGGCTAAGAAAAAAGTGAAAGAAAACACAAGTGACCAATATTTGAAATTAAAAAAATCCTACAGTAACTATTTTATGACAATAAATTTCAAAATTTAGATAAAATGGACAAGTTTATTGAAAAACATGATTTACCAAAACTGACATAAGAAGGAAGACAATCTGAGTAATTATACCTATTAGAGAAACCGAATCCATACTGAGAAACCACCCTCCAAAAAATTCTAGGCTCGATGACTTCATTTATGTCCAAATGTTTAAAGAAGAAATAATACCAGTGTTAAAAAAGAAAAACTCTTTGAGAGACTAGAGAAAAACAGAACACTTCGAAACTTGTGTTATGAAGCTAGCCTAAGTTTGATTAAAGAACTTGACAAGAAGCCTTAGCTGGTTTGGCTCAGCGGATAAAGAACTTGACAAGATATTGCAAGAAGGAAAAAATTCAGACCAATATCTCTCATGAGCATATGTGTAAAACTACAAAAAACAATTAGCAAATCTGACACAGTGATACATAAAGGATTATAAATGATGACCAAGTTGGGTTTACCCCAACAAGTCAGTAATGATTTAACATTTCCAAATCTATATAAAAATGTAATCAATATAATTCAACACATTATAGACTAAAGTAAAATAATATGATTATCTCAATAGAGGTAGAAAAAGCATTTGATCAAATTTATCATTACTATATATATAAAAAGCCAGCGTCACGACAGGAATGACAAGAGACCAGAACACCGCGAGGGGCTGGCCTCACCCCCCAGTGGGGACCCCCACCCCGACCGGGGGTGTGGCCAACCTACAAACTGCCTGTGGCCCCTTGCCCAGGTCAGCCCCGCCCCCCAGTGGGGATCCCCACCCCAATGGGGGCGTGGCTGGCTTGCAAAACACACCCGCTCCCAGTTGACCTCTCAGTTCCTTCCCCTCTGTCAGGCACCGACATCCGATGGTGAAAAGGGAACCGGGGGTGGGTGGCGGCAGGGGGCAGGGCTGGCTGTGGGCAGCCGGGGAGGATGGCCCTGATCACAGGCCAGGCCTAGGGATCGTATCCGCACATGAATTTCATGCGCTGGGCCTCTAGTTCATAATAAAAGCTCATAGTAAGCTAGGTTAAAGTGAAACATAATTCTATCAAAAGGAAAAGTTGCGTTTAATACATTTAGTAGAAAACATTTTATACTGCTTCAGTTTTTAAATTTAAATTCATTAGCCCTGGGTGGGTGGCTCTGTTGGTTGGAGCATTGTCCCATACACCAAAAAAGATTGTGGGTTTGATTCCTGGTTGGGCACA